GGGGTGGGGGGGTAGTGGAAGGGTGTCAGTATGGAAGGTTTTAAGAAGAATATCTAAACCATTAGATTAATTTAAATTAAGAATTGAGATTTTTTGTCAAATATATTTGTCAAAAACCTTGGTAGGTGGAACAGTCCCCCAGATTTTATTATTTAGTTTATTTATCATAGACTAGAGCTTCAGGCAAATAAGAAGCTATTAAGATTGAAGATTAACATTTTCGTCTTTTTTAATTGGACCTATTAAATTTGATGCTACAATTGAAAGTTTACAAAAGAACGATAGATTGAAAAGTAGGTGCGGGCCCATAGAAGTTATGATAAATTTAAAAGTTCACAAGAGATTGTTCGGTGTCTTATTTCATAGCTATATTTGTAAATTTCTCTAAATCTGAAGTCCCATAGCTAGTGTGATTGGATTGCTCAAACGTTTTTCTCTTCTGATAAATTCAGTTGTGCACATTAGACGCATGAAGAAACACAGTGATTTTACAGAGTTTTTGAATTGAGTTGACAGGGTATGCCTCAATGCAAAGATGACCATCCTGCAGTTCGCGTATTCACAGTTTGTGATGAATCCAAGTTTGTATTTATTATCTCTTTTCGTCAATTTATTACATGTAATAAGAAAAGGAAATCTAATTTGTGATTAGAAATTTGCTAGTTAATTATAAATTTTGTCAACTAATTTCATGCAGATACTTGATTGTGAGGAATGTTCCATCATTGGGTTGTGGTGATGAGCTCTTGAAATTGTTCTCTACTTATGGACAAGTTGAAGAGTAAGAACCCCACCAGCATGTATATTATAATGAATGTCCGTGTGTGTGTGTGTATAAATGAACTCTCTGGCAGCTTTTGAAGTAAGTTTATATCTATTTTTTTTTCAAATGGGTGTTATGCTAATTTATCTGGGGTAGCTAAAATTTGATTGATAGTGACGTTTATTTCAAGTTATCCTTTTCCTTTGGGCGGGGGAGAATTTCTGTGTTGTTTGTATGGCATCAAAATCATTGCGCTTTTGAAAAGTGCTGTTCAGATGTAAACCAATGGATGCAGAAGACTGTGAGCCATACACCGATGTTTACTGGATCAAATACTATCAGGTCGACAATGCCAGGTGATTTTTGATATTTGATGATTTTTCTTTTATTTTCCCATTTCTACACTAGTTTAAATGCATCAATTCTTGTTTATTTTGAAATGTTATTATTCATTCCTGAATGCTAATTTGTGTATTCTACAAGTCTACAACTATTTAAATTGAATTGATGTCCAAACATAATTATAGGTTTGCCAAGAGGAAACTTGATGAATTCGTTTTCCTAGGGAATCGGATACTAGTATCATGTGCACCTCAATATGAGACCCTCTCTGACACAAAGGAGAAGTTGGAAGGGAGGAGAAAGGAAGTTCTAGCAAGATTGAACCGTAAGTCTGCTGTGTAATAAGTTATATCTCCCTAATGATATTCCCTTATAATTTGTAAAATGTGATGCACTTCTAATTGATTCACGAGATTTCAGCTAAAAGATCCCGAGGGTCTTCAGTTTCCAGGGTACATGCGGTTAGTGATCCTTTACCTGCCCAAACATCTGAATTCATTCAAAGGTAGTTTATCTGTTGTATTCTGTTGTGTTACCATGAAATATTTTCTGAGGAATTTCATTTCAGATTACCATAAATGTGTTCCTATGTTGTAGGGAGTTCAGGGGGAACAGTGCTCATGATGGAGATTCAGCTCCCAGGACATCAGTTTCTTCTGACAAGGTAAATTTATGGATGAAAATTGGAGTTTATCTCAATAGAACGTGATTCATGAGGATGTTACATTTTTTCTTTAAATGTAATCTTCTGCAAATTGACATTTTGGACTAGCTAAATAATTTCTGCAGTTAGCCATAGTTGTAGCCTGTAAGAGATGAATTTATATCGTGCACAGCACTATAGTATGATAGAGAATTGTAGAGTCTCCAAACCAGTTCCTTGAGTAATGCTATTTAGTTGAGATCACCATAGGTCTAGGTGCCAGTGTGCCCTTGAAAAATTGTACAACAGAGTTGTGATACGTTTTTCTGCATTGGACCATGAATTAAAGGTTCATTGTCACTTAGACCGGTGATGAATAGCATTATTCATTCCTTAAAATACCACCCCACGAAGAAAATTGAAAATAACAATAGATTAATGCTAATAAGAAACAAAGAAAGGAAAGCTCCTCAGTTCTTCGGACTTGCTATGTGGTTGAAATCTTTAAAGACATCCCTCGAGTTCTCAGATTTAAGGCTGCCATTGTACAACACTGAATTTATTTCCAATTTCTCTTCCTTCAGCTGCTTATCTATGACATATTTGTCTAACCTTAAAAATCTACTTATAAGAAAATAAGCAAGTTTTGAACTAATAATCATTTTCATAGGTGAAAGAATTCGTAGGAATAGATTACTTGTTTTGGGGAGTAACATAAGAGTTACTTATGAAGAAAAATTTAAAATTTTCCCTAGTAAGAAAGTCAGTTATCCCAACTTTATTTCATTAGTTAGGCTACTCACTGACGGTAGGAGATGTGAACCTCCTGTCGTGGTAGTCTAGTTGAGAAAGGTAACAATACTAATTTTTTGGTAGAAAATCCTTTCAATTATCCAATCCTTCACTTTTGGTTGATATCAGGAATATTTCTCATCACAATCCATGAATCAAACGGTTCAATTCGTCAGGGAGAAGTTGAATAAGGTAATAAACAATTGTGTAATATTTTCTTCTTATCTCATCTTTATATAAATTTCACATCTTTCTCCATCATTGTAGATACAATCAAGCGTGGAGCATGTACAAGCTGGTTCTACTAAGAGACCACGGGTAGATAATAGAAGAAGAATCTAATGAGTTTTCAAGAAATGAGAGGCTAGTAACAAATTTTATGTAAATTGGTATCATTCCTCTGCTGAAAATTTTACTTTTAACTTCTAATAATTAATTTTATGGCTTCATTCTTATAGTAGAGGTGCTTTTTTTGTGATGATTATAAGTTTCCAACAAATCTAAATTTCGAGGGAAAAAGCCTTCGTTGTTACGCTTGTTTTACAACCATAATATGAATGCTCGGGGATTTATGGTATCAAGTAGGATCCAATCAGCATGAAGAGATCGTTTTCTATCAATTAAAGTTGAAGATGTTAAAATACATCCAAGAAGAAAATCTAGGTTTCCTTTTCCCTATTCATTTACCACACATTAAGTGCATCTTTGATATGCATTACAATACCTTCCTAACAAAACACGTGAATAAGTGCATTCCATGAGGTTAGCAAATTTGTAAATGCAATACTAGTACTCACAAGCAAACAAAACATAACTTCTCGAAGTCTGCATATTGTATCATGGCTTTACATGTTCCCTGATAAATTCCTCCAACTGAGGTATATCGCCAGTCAAACCAGATGCTTCTGCAACTGTCACTTTGTTATGGCACTGAGAAAATGCAAAGGCTTCTCCAGGTACCCCGAGTGTGTATTCATTAGCAATGTCTGCTGAAGACAGTGCAGTTCTTGATGCACGAAGCTTGTCACTAAATCAAAAGAGCAGGCAGCAAATCAATTTATGGATTTAGGGTTAACAGTAATAATTGGTACACGTACATTAGCCAACACATTTATTGAACTTCATTTACAACGGGAAGAGAACAACGCCATATACAAATGATTTGACAAGTATGAAATATGGAGAAGATCATATCAAATCTGTTGTCAACCATTGGTCATGTCCATTTATCTCTCTCTCCATGTTAGTGTTGCCATAAGTACACACTTTATGATATTATGCCTCTTTATAAGTTGTTTGTTTCCCCTTGGTGCTCTACCTTTACAAGGTCACAAATGTGACTGTCTAAGTTTGTCATTTTCCATTTCATAATAAACATATACTTTCACATCAAGCGGTCACTTCAAAGACCATATATTAATCTTCTTCAACCTCAGATACGATAATTCTGCATAAAGATTATTTTTTGATTTAATTATCTTCTTTTTCTAGAGTAATTTTCCCTCCTCTAACATTTGGCTTTGTTTTCCTTCCCCTCAATCCTGTTCCACCTTTCACTAATCTCCTTGTTAACTCTAATTCTAATGTGCCCAATATCACTACTTCCAACTTTGTATGTTTTGGAAAAAAGTAACTGCTGAGTTCACTTACATTTAACTTACGTTTTAGTTTTTCCTATGCATAAGGGCAATGGTTCGAAGTTTTCATTATTCCATCCATTAGCCAATTACATGGCATACACCTACTGATCCTAAAACATCTTTGTTATATTTTCAACACTCAACCATTCTATTCCTCCAAGCACTAGGCACATCGTCTGAATTTAATGTGGATGCATTCGTCATTCTATCTATGGGCGTTTCTAGTTACCTTCTTTATGTTGGAATATCTATTTCACTTAATGATAAAATAAAAATGTTCATTTTGTCATAAAAAAATAATGAGCAGTAAGGCCAGAAACTAACCATCTTAAAAAGGATTGCACATGTGAAAGACTGAAAGATGGAATAACTTAATTACTGAAAGCCTAATGATGTATAAAACACTCCTTACATTTCCTTCTCCAGCTGTTTTCTGATAAAATCCTTTGTATGTGCAGTAATTTTGTCCACCTTGTTGCAAAGGAGTAATATTGGAATCTTTTTCTTCACTACATTTGCCTTGGTCAAAATATCATAGAGGTACCTATAGCACAAAATAAACAATAGATGTTAGAGTCAATGTGTTATCTGTACTCTCATTGGGGTGTGTGTATATGTGCACGCGAATGCTTGAATCAAGGCACTGAGCATGTACTCTGAAGCAGCACGGCAATTTGGTAAAAATTCCACAGCATCCACCACAAAAACAATTGCCGCCGCTTGAGGCAAGAAGTCATCTAGTTTGGTTCGAAGACGGGAATGCCCAGGAACATCAACGAGATGAACAGGCTTTACTTTCCCCTTCTGCAATACAAGCAAAATAAGATTCAGCTACATAAATCTTTCAATTAACTTGTGAAAGAAAGGGATATTGGAGAAATGAAATTAATGTATTTAAAATTCTAGAGTCTTGGAAGACATAATCCAGTGCAGTTCCTCAAAATATGTACAAGAATTAACATCCTTTTTACTGAACCTGAGCTATCCACTATGCATTTAAGCACGCTAGCCAAAGGACAGGAGGAATATATCTATATATGAACGTTGCCAGCAAATAGCGTGCAATACCTTTGCTGTTTCGGAGTGTAGCACAAAAGTACCTTCATTTGGTTCCATTGATGTCACAGTACCCTGATGAGAGGAGCCATCTCGAAGCTGAATCAACAACATTTTATATCTTAATAGTAGGAATAGAGGCCATAATCCAAAATTTCACGAACCATTTTTTAGAGGCTGACCTGGTAAAAGAGAACAGTTTTTCCACTTCCACTAAGCCCAGTTAACACAATGGTGTTAGCTGACTTACGCTTGAATAATCGAACTGCAAAGCAATAAATGTCTTCTGAGAAATCATATTTAAGCTTCTGGCAGGGAATTGTGCTGATTAGAGAAGTGAATTCTAAAAAAAAAAACTATCTTTTTTTTTTTACTCATTTCAAATTTGAAATTTGAATTTTCACTTTTTATCCTTTTCATTTCAGACAAGAAAACTATCTTTTTCACTTCAGGGATAAAGTTATTAACCAAGACAGGAGAATGAAATATTTAAAAAGATGACATAAATTCAGAAGCACTTTCAACTTTTATGGCTTAAATCCTAATAAGAAAATCTTCCCACCATAGTTCACAATTGGGATATTTGGCCTCCTAGGGACACATGTCATTGGCCAAGACCTCTTGGCGGTTGTGCTGCTTTAGCAGCTTTGAAGACATTGCAAATGACTTTAACATGTGGCAGAGTATTGTAAAGGAGTGAGTAGCCTTACTTCCACGATCCATTGAGCCTATGTCCTTTGTTACTCCAACTAGTTAGGTCTCAACTAAACTTGCTTACTGCAGACTGCATTGCTTAATCATAGCACCATGCTAACAAAATTGCAAGTTTCAACTTAAGGGGCCACTTCAATACTTGAGACTATAGAAAATAGGATCAAATTCATAGTACCATCTAACAAAATTACAAGTTTCAACTTAAAGGGCCACTTTAATACTTTGTAGTATAGAAAATAGGATCAAAATTAAGGTTAGGTTATTGAATGAAGGTTTTCTGGAATTTTCTGAATCCAATATCCAAAAAAAAAAAGACATTTCTATGACACAGTTGAATTTTAAAATGTTCATAACAACTAAGTAATTTCAAGCTTCAATACAACACCCAATTTAGCTAATAATACCAATGAAATTTCGAAAAAATTGTGCATCAACACATCCTATTGAAACAAAATGCAGTTATTCAACAGAGAAGAATAATTCATCAAACTTAAAATTTGTATCAAATTAAAACACTCTAAAGTTCGAGGAATTACTAATAATGAAGAAAAATGTTGTGACCAAGACTACTCCAATTGCGGCATAAAGCTGAATTGGCGGAACTTTCTGAATAAATTCTTGGGCGTCGTTCAACCATTTCTGCATTTGGATTTTCAATTCTTCAATTTTCTCCTTATCCATTTTGGTCAGAAACCTTCAGGAACAAAAATTGGAATTTCAGAATTTGTACAAAAGTAAACCAAACGGAGAGAGGTGAAGCGACATCGATTTACCTGATCGGAGCAGGCCTTTCTCGCCAGAGAAATTTTACTTGGATTTCACGAAATGAATCTGACAGGGTAAGGAAGCCCTGAAATTTATTAAACGAGATTCGGGCCGGATCCAAGTTTGACCCAAATATAAAGCATATACGGAAACGCGATTAAACGTTATGAATAAAATCGCGTTACAGTGAAACACGATTAAACTTTATGAATAGAAACGTAAAAAGAGAAATAATGTACTATGTATTAAGTACTAATTAAGACATGGATAATAATATAGTATTCAAAGGGAGTACTTTGGAGGAGAGTAACGGGTAAATTTGAAGGTTGAATGGATTCCGAGTTGATTATCAAAACCGGATGGAAATTAATAGGAATTTGAAAGAAAAATTGATTATCTTGAAGGATTATTGGCAAGAAATGAGTAATAACATTAACAAAAAGAGAAATCAAGAGAGTAATGAGGATCTCACGGTTGTGGTCAGGGGGAAAATATTCTACTAGACTCGTATATAGATTTTTTCTTTTTTTCTTTTTTTGCCTTAAAAATGTCCTGGGACTTCGCAGTCTAGGTTTTCAAGTAATGAAATAATGTGGGAAATGGAGAGTGGGTAGAGAAGGACAATTGAGTAGAATTTCGATAAGGGCAAGGGTAGTTTGAAACTATCGGTTTGAATGATAGAATTGGATAGAAAACGATGCCATCAGACAAGAATGTAAGGTATGTTACCCTTATTTTGGATGGGAAAGGATCAAGCAACAAACTTAATTTACCTATTCCGCCAATCGGCAACAATCTTCATTTGGTTTCGACCTCTAATATTGAGGATTTTGAGAGGAAATTTCATGGTGAGAATCGTGATAATGGAAAGATTTGTGGAAGGTTGCTTGCGGGCAGAATGGATTATGCTAAAAAAAACATTGAGATTAGATTTTTGTTACATTTTGTAAAGATTAGAGACGAGAAGTGTAAATTTATTCAAAAAAAAAAAAGAGGAATTTTTGCAACAAGTTTGCAGTTCACAAAATATCCATATACCGTTTTTCACTAATAAGCAAGGTTCTAAAAAGTTTCAAGATTTACGAGTCTAGGTGTAGAGACGAAGTTTCAAACTTTACAAGTTGAGGCGAGGTTTAGGTGTAAAAAAACGTTTTCTTATTTTTTTATATTATTTTAAAATTTTCAATTAATTTAAAAATCATTTAAAAATTAAAAAAATACATATCAAATATCTAAAATTGTAAAGTACTATATTTACTTAATAATTTCTATTACTAGTCAATTATATAATTTTTAAAATTTTTGACATGCAAAAATTAGAATATGTTTCATAGTTTCAATTTTAACAAGACAATCTTATTTAATAAATTTATAGGAACTTCATAAATACTTTTGTAGCTTGCAACAAAATAATGAGTCTCACGATCACAATAATGTAGATAGCACAATAATTTGAATCTTATTTAACTATTTAGATAAAGTTATTTTTAAATTTTCTACAGATAAAATCTTTTAAAAACTTAAAATTAAAGTCATGTGAAAAGTTTTTTTTAAAAAAATAAAAAAATTAATAAACTAAAGTTAAATAAAAGACTTTTAAAAAAAGGGAAAAATAAAAAAAATAATAAAGCGCGTCTAAAAAAGACGAAAGAGAGAGGAAAAAGTTCAAACGTTTAGAAATTAGGAAAAAAAAAAGTGTCTAAGAACGAAGTAAGACATTTTATCCGAGTTCATTGCTTAGACGAGTTTTTTAGAACACCGCTAATAAGAGAATAATTACAATGTGCAGAAGTTGGGAAATGAAATACTACAAAATTTTCTAAGACTCC